CATGTCCCCATCAAATGCTAATTGAAAGTATTTCACCGTGCTTCTCATTTCTTCAAGTGTTTCTGAGTGTCTTCCACAAGGTCACTTTCTTTCTTAGGAGAATTAATAATGCAGCGTATTTCTACTATCTGTCTCTATGCCATATGGACATAGGAAGCTACCTTCTACTGATTCAGACCATCTATTGTCTATACTGACTAGCAATGGCTCTCATCGATTTCATGTGGGCTCACTCCCAGCCCTACCTGGAGATGCTGGGGACTGAACTTGGGAACTTCTGCATGCAAAGCAGGTGCTGTACCACTGAGCATTGGCCCTTTCCCTGAGCCTAACCACCAAAAAACAAGAAACAGAAGCAAATGAATAGAAAATGTAACATTTAAGTAGTACCAGTTGTGTGGCAAACCTCTCTCATCACTTCTAAATTTCATTCAGTGCATCACCTTTATGCCAAACCCATAAGAGCAATTATAAACGTATGAGGAGGAGGCAGAGGTGAGCATGGGACCCACAGAACTAAAGATACAATACAGTATACAGAAGAGCATCCACATCTAACCCAAGGAATCTTCCATGCATAATTCACACTATATGGGAATTCCTCTCTGTCCCAAGTGCACAAACATACAAGCTGAATAAGAGGTATCATGCAAGCAGGCAGACAGTGCTATTTTTAAAAGCAGCATCAGTTTTCCCAAGCAACAATGTGCCCCTGCACTACCAGCTTCAAAACATCTCTCATGTGGAGCTACTTTTAAACCACATCAGATCTACCTACCTGCAGTAACCAACAGTGGACTTCCATGGTCTCAGGTGGGATTCTTTTCTAGCACAGCTACCTGAGGTCCTTTTAAGCTGGAGACTGAACATGGAGTTTTCTGTATGCAAAATGTGCTTTCCACCATTGTGCTGAAGTCCCTCCTATGAGATAGAAAAATACTCATCCTCAAATAAAGATGAGTAGGTGTGGAGGATTCCCTGGTCCTGAATGTGGATTCCCTGGTCCTGAATGGGGTAACTGTGCCCCTGAAGGACCAGGTGCGCAGCCTGGGAGTCATTTTGGACTCACAGCTGTCCATGGAGGCACAAGTCAAATCCGTGTCCAGGGCAGCTGTTTACCAGCTCCATCTGGTACGCAGACTGAGACCCTATCTGCCTGCGGACTGGTGCATGCTCTGGTTATCTCCCGCTTGGACTACTGCAATGCACTCTATGTGAGGCTACCTTTGAAGGTGACCCGGAAACTACAACTAATCCAGAACGTGGCAGCCAGACTGGTGACTGGGAGCGGCCGCCAAGACCATATAACACCGGTCTTGAAAGACCTACATTGGCTCCCAGTACGTTTCCGAGCACAATTCAAAGTGTTGGTGCTGACCTTTAAAGCCCTAAACGGCCTCGGTCCAGTATATCTGAAAGAGCGTATCCACCCCCATCGTTTTACCCGGACACTGAGGTCCTGCACTGAGGGCCTTCTGGCGGTTCCCTCACTGCGAGAAGCCAAGTTACAGGGAACCAGGCAGAGGGCCTTCTCGCTAGTGGCACCCGCCCTGTGGAATGCCCTCCCACCAGATGTCAAAGAGAAGAACAACTACCAGACTTTTAGAAGACATCTGAAGGCAGCCCTGTTTAGAGAAGCATTTAATGTTTGATGTATTACAGTATTTTAATATTTTTTTGGAAGCCGCCCAGAGTGGCTGGGGAAGCCCAGCCAGATGGGTGGGGTATAAATAATAAATTATTATTATTATTATTATTATTATTATTATTATTATTAATTCACTGGCACTTCTTATAATGCCCAGTGCTGTTCCCAGTTTTACTACTCCACTAACTCAATTGCTCAGTGCAAATCTAAATACAAATGGTGTTTCTCAGCAAGCAAAAGAGAGAGAAAGTTGTACTTTGCAGCTGGTTAGCAACTTGGAGGGAGAGGGGCAAAGGCAATTACGTTCAATTATGGGGGGACTCACCTAATGGTGGCTGGTGGCCATTAGGACTGGTAGGGCAGTTTGCTGGAAGATCAACAGTAGGTGGTGCCAGGGCCAATAGCAATGAACTCTACTGTTGTCCTCATCTTCCCAGCTGCGTTCTGCAAGCATGACTGAGGAATCATAGAATCATAGAATTGTAGAGTTGGAAGGTACCCCTAGAGGCATCTAGTCCAACCTCTTGCAATGCAGGAATCTTTCACTCAACATTGAGCTTGAACCCATGGCCCTGGTGTCTCATGCTCTGCCAACTGAGTTATCCCAACTCCTAATCTGCCACTCTAGCCACAACACATACTGTCTCTGCTTCTTGCTGCTATAGGAAATGAGGATCTGAAAACAATATTTACCTTGGGAAAGCTTAATGCCATGCAGCTGATTACAATAAATGTCTTATTCAGGGGAGGGGGGGGGTAACAGAGACACCAGTATTATGGACCATGATGCTAAGATAATTGGAAGGAAATAGATTTAGCAGTAGCTCAATCCTCTTTAACATCATTTAATTGCCATTAATTGCATGCAACAGCACTGTAAATTGATACATGATCAGTGAACAAACAGCACTGATTCTGTTTGCTTCTTGAGTAAGAGTGTTTGATGGCACTAAAGCAGCTCCCATAACATAGATGAGAGAGATCAAATATCCATGCAGGATAATGTGGCCTGTTTTCCCCACCCCGCCCCATAGGGCCTACTCTCACATCAGATTTCAGCATTGGGAGATATTGGAAGATCTCAAAACAATTTGCAAATAATCAATATAGATATGGAGTACCGTAATGGACATGCTCTTCTTCTGAAAATGGGCAGATGATATTCTTGCATTTCCCCAGGTTTGTCCACACAGCTCTCAGGGGTGGATGCAGCATCACATCAACATCTGGAAGATGTATCTTCATACCAGGCGCCTGGCCCCTGAGGTCAGTTGCTAGCCCATTACTTCTTGACAAAGTACTTCTTCAAATACCTCGGAGTTATGTGATGGATTTTGTTCCTGCAAGATGCCATGATTACAGCTGTGCATTGGATTTATCCAAAACCCAAACAGACCAGGGAGTGGATGGACTTAATGGTTGTTGTGGTCACTGCCACGCCCAAAGTCCTGCCTATCACACTGGCCAGGACAAAAGGGCAGGCAGATTACTGTGTTAGCCTGAAAAGGTCCTGGCACCATCATGAGATGGCAATGAGACCAGCTGGGGATCCAGCAGATCCCAGGCTGTTTCAAGCCCCTCCTTGCCTGTGGAAGACACTGTTTGGTGGTTTTATGCAAGCTGCCACCCACAGAGATCCTGCAAGTAGCACTTGTGGCTGCATGTTGAGCTGGTGGAATGGAGAGTTCTGTGCTGACAGAGTGACACCTCTGCCCAGTCTAACCCACCCATCCCAGTATGGCTCAAAGGTATTATTATTTGTTAAGCATTTATTTTTCACCTTTTCCTCCAAGCTGCTCAAGGCAGTATACATAGTTCTCCTCCTCATTTAATCCCCACATCTACCCCGCAAGGTAGGTTAGGCTGGGACGCAGTGATTGGCCCAGGGTCACCCAGTGAGCTTCATGGCCAGGTGGGGATTTGAACTCTGCTCTCCCTGGTCCTACTCTGACACTCTAACCACTGCACCACACTGGCTCACACTTGGATTGCAGCCAAGGAAGAAACCCTTTAACCCAGGGGTGGTGAACCAGCCACATCCCAATTGGCTCTAGTAAGTTATTTATGATGCTCTTTTCACAAGTATGAAAAATCTCCAGACAAAAGCCTTGTGGCACCCCATTACTCTTGTTTTTCAGGGTAGCAACTCACTTGATTAGAAAAGGGAACAAACCTTCCAGGACTGGGTGGAAATGAAGAACGCAGGAGGAAAACCAAACCAAAGAAAAAAGAATTTTTTGTTTCTATATATACACACATGCATACATAGCAGGCAGGGAGATTGCAACAACTTGGAAGTAGAAAATTATGTCAAGCAGATCCGACAGACAGGAGCCTCAGAGAGCAACAACTACAATGGTCTACCACTATTTTATTGCAATGCAAGCCATTAAGAAAATATATAATATCTACATGAGGTTTCTTCCCTGTCCCCAGAGTTCCTGGTCCACCACCATATCCTGACCCCAAAAGATATGGGTCAATATTTCAATATTTCATTCATGAGGCTCACATTTTGAAAAAGAATAATAATCAGAGTTGCACTGGTGAACTGATGAATTGGTTTGGCTGCTATTCTCCAGTGATTGATTGGGATTGTAGAGACACCAGAAGCTGCCTGATACTGAGTTGGACTAATAGTCCATCTAGCTCAATGCAGTCTGCACTGACTAGCAGAGGCTCTCCAAGGTGTCAGACAGGGAACCCACTCAGCCCTAACTGGGGATGCCAAAGATTGTAACTGTTGGGAAACTGTGTACATGCAGCTACTCACACAGAGGCAATTAAGGTTTGTCAGACAACCAAAAGGTCATGTGAAGGAGTAAGTCTGCCTGGTGATAACAGAAGCATGGAGGCAGCTCCCTGATTGGTCAAGCTCTCTCAAGGGAGTGATAATTAATGGCCTACTAACTGGAATGTGTTAGTTCAGAGGTTCAGAGTTCTGTGTGTCAGTGTACGTGTTGTGAGTCGTGTATGAGAGAGCTAGCTAAAGATCCGTGTTCTGCTCCTGTAAATAGTCCACTGCATATAATAAACACCTAACTACAAGTTCCTGGTTCCTTCTTCGTCTATCCTGTCTGCAGCCAAGTCGCCAATTGATTCTGTGGATTCTGCGTTTACTCTGCTAGGTCTGGCTAAGGTCCTGCAACTAGTCAGAAAGTTGCGAAACACCAAATAGGTTTTGCCAATAGTAACTACATGAAGCTGCTCTGCCACTGAGCTATAACCCTGCCCCTAAGTGCAGGAACACAAGAAACCACCTGATACTGAACCAGACCATTAGTTCATCTAGCTCAGTGTTGTCTATAATGTCTGGAACTGGCTTTCCAGCACTTCAGAAAAGAAGTCTTTCTGAAGAGATGCCAGGGATTGAATCTGGGACCTTTTGCATGCAAGGCAGACGCTGTTCCACTGAGCCGCAGTCTTTCCCCAGGTTTTCTCTTCTAGATGCTGTGGAGGAGGGCAGATGCACATTTAAGCCTTCCTTCCTTCTATGAAACATTTTGGGTTCATATGCAGCCACCCATTAGGAGCTGAGTAGGAATTTTGGGGTAGGTTTCCATGCCGAGTAGAATTTAGTTGGATACAACCCTTACTTTGTATGGATCTTGAGCTCCATGGAGGAAGGCCAGACTGTCAGTGATATAAACTAATAAAAGCTAAAGTTTAACCATCTCCTACTGAAACAGCTATGGGTTTGCGTGATCTGCTTGCAAGGGGAAGCTCTCCAGAAGGTCAAGCTATCAAAATTTATTAAAATTTGAAAAGCTGTTGAGACATTCTGCTTGGTTCTAGTGGCACAGTTTAATGTAAGCTTCTCCAGTCAAAGGAGCTATGGGCTTGCATGTTCTGCTGGCATGCTGTAGCTGTCGAGCACTCAGAACTATGAAAAAATGATTATCATTTGCAAATCAGTGGAGGTTTTGCTAGGTACTTGCTTGGTTCTAGCAGCTGAGGTTTCATAGCAAGACATGTTTTAAGTGCTTCCAGAGAAGCAGTCGGGTACAATCCCTTAAATTCTACTTTTTAGAGTAGACTTTTTTAGTGACTGGGAGTGGCCACCGGGACTACATAACATCAGTTCTGAGAGATCTGCATTGGCTCCCAGTACATTTCCGAGCACAATTCAAAGTATTGGTGCTGACCTTTAAAGCCCTAAACGGCCTCGGTCCTGTATACCTGAAGGAGCGTCCCCACCCCCATCGTTCAGCCTGGACACTGAGATCCAGCGCCGAGGGCCTTCTGGTGGTTCCCTCATTGTGAGAAGTGAGGTTACAGGGAACCAGACAGAGGGTCTTCTCAGTAGTGGCGCCCGCCCTGTGGAACGCCCTCCCTTCAGATGTGAAGGAAATAAACAGCTATCTTCTCTTTAAAAGTCATCTGAAGGCAGCCCTGTTTAGGGAAGTTTTTAATATTTAATGCTGTATTGTTTTTAACACTTGATTGGAAGCCGCCCAGAATGGATGGGGAAACTCAGCCAGATGGGCGGGGTGTAAATAATAATAATAATAATAATAATAATAATAATCTTGTCTGACTTCTCAATAGGTTGCAAGGGGTGGCTATCTAATTATGTGTAGTTTTGTTGTTGTTGTGTTCCTTCAAGGAGCTCAAAGTGGCATGCTCAGTTCTCCTCCTAACCATTTAAATTTCTAAAAAAAACCCTGTGAGGCAGTGCCTGGCCCAGGCCACCCAGTGAGCTTCATGGCCATGTGGGGATTTGAACCCTGGTCTCCCAGGTCCTACCCTGACACTACACTTTACTGTCTCCCCATGGCAGCCACTTTGTGTTATGTCAACTGCCTCCCATTAGCAGCTATTTTGTGACTGGCACCCCCGGCCACCTCTTAAAATTACGAATGTACTCACTGGTCAAAAAAGTTTGGTCACCTCTGGCCTGTGACATCTATTCCATTGACTTCAGCTATTGCTACCACACCTGTATTTACGAAGCCAACGAGTTCCAAGCTTTGTTCTCCCTGCTCCCCTTTATATTGATGAGCAAGCACCAGAAATAGCAAAAGAACAGCTTTGCTTTTAGAAACTTGAATGCGTGCGTGCGTACGTGTGTTGCTCATTCCCAGGCAAATATTGTCTCTTGCTACTCACAGAGTTGCAACTGAGCAGCTGGTCCAACTCCCTTGATAAAAAAAAACAAAAACCACAACCCAGCTTTCAAAGACTAATATGGTTAGGCAACCAAAGGGCTCCAAACATCCTTTTGCCTGGGGAAAAAAAACATCTATTGATTGCAGCACATTTGAATTTTAGATTGCCAAATGCCTCCATTTTTCAAGTAGTTCCTGTTTGATGTTCAAGGTCAGGAAAGTCAATTGAAACTTAATTCTCTTCTTCATTGATTTATAGCAGCGCTGACTTTAAGTACCTGATTCAGGATGGATTCAATTGTTTAGCATTGAAAACAAATGGAGAGAGCTATTTTTCTGAGGGTTTTGCCTTGAATAATGGCTCAATGTGTTTTATCACATTGCACTGCCATATTTTAATAGAAAGTATTATTCACTCTTGTTTCCTCCCCTGGCATGCTCATATGTTACCAGAAAGCATGACTTCTTAGCAAGACAAAAAAGGTGAAAGGGCTTAGCCTTAAAGCTGTCCATGTTCCTGTGCTCAGCTAATAACTACAATTTCCTATTGCCAGCACATTGTCACTATCAAAAGCCTAGCATTAAATGTTCCATTTCTGCGCAGCTTGCAGCAGAAATGCCCAAACAGAAATTTTGGGATGTTGTTGGAGTTATTGTTATTGATTAATGTATATACCACTTAATGTCAAAACAGGCTTTTACGTAGATGGCAAGTATAAAAACCAGTAACACACACATTTGGATGTAAAAATCCACAATTAAAATGCACAACTAAGACACACAACAGATTAATCTTATTAAAATGCTCAAATGCAAATTCTGTAATTAAAATATACAACCAAACAATCACCAAAATATGCAGCCAAACAATCACCAAAATTCCTATTTCAATTCCTGGAGTTTTGAATTTGGGGGGTCCTTCAAATAGAATATAAGCATGTTGTCCTCCACCACAAAAAAAACACCCAAAATAATTATCTGACTTGGATTAAAATCTGAGCTAGAGAAGAATTCCACTCCCTCCTGCTCCCATCATGCCCAGCCCACCCTCTCAGACTTACCCAGCCTGCTCTGAAGCCCCCACTGACATCCCTCACAGTCTTCAAGTGGCTAGTACAATGTTAACAACCACTGAGAAAGCTGCATTGCCAAAGATCAGATTAAGGAAATTGGGGCCCTAGTGTAGCTCCTCTGAAAATGGATCCCCTTCCCTACAAAAGGCATTTTTAAAAAAGCTTATTGAATTCAACTTTATTATTTTATTGTATAAAACAAGGCATGCAGTGGGAAAATCACAGCAAGTGAGCAGAGACAAGAGAGTCCCTTGCAGACATACTGTAGACCCTGGTGTAATTCCCCCAATTGCATCATGATAATCTAGCCTCACATTGCTCCTTTTTGCTGCATAGCACGATGCTAGAACTCAGGTTTGGGGGGGTGAGACCTCACTCTTGTGTCACTGCCGCTGCTGAAGCAATAGCAGCAGCCAGGGAAGACAGTGGAAGGGAAGAGAAGTGGATTTCTATTTGAAGTTCTTTGTGTGAAAATGTTCAGGGAGCAGGAGTGGCTATATTGTTTAATAATATCCTTCCTAACTTGTGTTAGCAAGTTCTATAACTTAGCAGAGTAACATTCCCCTTTTAAGCTTGCATGGCAGATAGCTTGTTGCCAGGCTTGTTTAAGCCTCTAAAATAAGATTCCTGGTAATTCCCCTTTATTCCCTCTTAAAAAGAATAGACATGACACAGTCTTGTATAAAAAGTATAAAAGAAGTTTACTCACACATTCTGTTCACAAATGGCTCCCAGAAGGCAGACTTAAGATACAAAATATACAGTGGTGCCTCGCAAGACGAAATTAATCCGTTCTGCGAGTCTCTTCGTCTTGCGGTTTTTTCGTCTTGCGAAGCACGGCTATTAGCGGCTTAGCGGCTATTAACGGCTTAGCGGCTTAGCGGCTATTAACAGCTTAGCGGCTTTAAGAAAAAGGAAACAAACTCGCAAGAACTCGCAAGACGTTTCGTCTTGCGAAGCAAGCCCATAGGGAAATTCGTCTTGCGGAATGACTCAAAAAACGCAAAACCCTTTCGTCTAGAGAGTTTTTCGTCTTGCGAGGCATTCGTCTTGCGGGGCACCACTGTATACATGTGTGGAACTATCCCATATGGGAGTTAGTCTCAGTGACTGCAGGCTAGCAGTCACTGCTGCTCACTTGTTGAAGGCAACGTGGAGAAGGGAAAAGAGAGAGAGATGGCGGCCAGCCCTGTGCTTTTGCTACCTGCACAGGTAAGGTCACGCCCACCTCTGGTCACATGTAGAGGAAGTCTTGTCCCAGTCTAGGAGGAAACAGGAAGTTTACTTACTGGTTGGGACAAGCATTCCTCTTTATGTCTACTCGAGGAATGTTGTATTTGACTGCTCTGTATTTCACACCCCGCACTTTGGTGGATGAGAGAGGAAATTGGGATTTGGAGATTGGCCGGCTGGTGGACTCAGAATCTGAAACAACAACAACAACAACAACAACAACAACAACAACAACTTATTTATACCCTTTTTATTCTTTCCCTGACAGGACTTTGAAAGTAGCAGAATTATTTCCTCATTTGTATCAGAAATCTCTATCTGGGACAGCTCACCCATCCCTAGACCGAATATTATATGTTTGCCAGAAGGGATAGGGGAGAATTATGATTCAGTTTGCATTTAAAGCAGAATCAAATTTCTGAAACAATATGAACACCCAAACCTATTTGTGTCCCTTTCTCCTTTTCTGCTCTTTTAAATGCTGTGGCACCCATTTTGCCACACTCCACAACCACCAGTTTTTGTTCAGTCACATACCCCATGCCAGATATTTTGCATTATGCCACACACATCACAGCAGTCATTTTGTGGCTACGGCACATTCTCAAAATTCCAAATGTGCCTACTGGCCTTGACAGTTGGTGGCCTCTGGCATATAGAATGACTATCTGAAGGCCACCCAGCTAAAACCTTCTGAATCACAAGCCATCAGCACATTTTATAGTAATTAACTGTTTCCCTAAGTTAGCTTTGCTCTGTATACAAAACAACAACAACAATAATATCCCTTTTCTATAAACGTTGTATTCTCACAGCATTTTAACCAGTGCTATTTTTCTAGAAAAAGAGGTTCAGAAATCACCAGGAACACCTCCCTTGTTCTCTTATAATGGCAATGGCACCCACCTGAGAGGTGCCGGAACTGCGTTCCAGTGAGTTCAGGCTGAAAAAAACACACCCTGGTTTTAACCTTTTCATGTCAAAGCTACAAGCTACAAGTCTGTTCCCTTGAGCA